AATAAATAAAGTATTACTTTACTAAAAAAAACTAAAATAAAATTATTTTTTTAAAAAAAAGATATTTTAAATATTATTACTATTAATTTATAATATTAAAACTTCAAATTATACAAGCAAATTATCTTAAATTTTATAAAAATTAGTTAATAATTATAAAGATATTAATATTCAAAATTTAATAATTAAATTATTTATTATATAATTTTATATTAATTTTAATTAAAGTTTATATAGTAAATTTAAGAAATAATAATTCAAAAGTTTATTATTAGTAAAACTTTTTTTATAAAAGATATATAATAAAAATTTTTATATTTAATAAATTCTAATATTTAATAACTTAATTAAATAAACAAAATTAAAATTTTATTTTGAAAAAATAATTTATTAATATTTATCTAATATATTAATCTTTTTGTATCAAATTATATTATTATTAAATTTAAGTTATATTATATATTAATATTTTAAAATTAATATATTTATAAAATTTAAATATTTGAATAAATTAGAAAATATTTAGATTTAAAAAAAATAAATATATAATAATATTCAAAATAAAATATATATAGAAAAATTTTTTAAAAAAATAGATAGTTAAGCTATTAATTAATTAAATAAAATTAAAATAAATTTAGTAACTTATTTTTCTAATCAATTTTATATATTTTTTTATTTTATATTATTATTTTATATATTTTTAAATTTAAATTATAATATAATTTACTATTTATTTTATATATTATAATAATTAAAAGTAATATAATCCTTGAATTTTTTACTAATTATAATTTGTAAAAAATTCTAGTATTATATTACTTTTAATTATTATTATATATATATATATATATATATATATATATATAAAATAAATATTGATAATATTTTTAAAAATATATTTGAATATAGTTAAAAAAATAAATAAAAATAAAGATAAATAATATTATTAAATATATTAATATAATTAAATAAAATTAATAATGAAAAATAAAAAAATAAATTATATAAAATTAATAAAAATATTATATAATTAATAATTATTAAATAATAAATATAAACAAGAATAAAATATAAATTAAAAAATAATAAACTATTATAAATCTAAAGTTATAAATTTTTTTAATTAATTTTATTTATTTATAACTAGTTATATAATATAATAATTAAAAATTTTATATAATATTTAATTTTTTATATAATATAAAATAATATATAATTCTTTACTTACATATTAAATAAAAATATTAAAAAAAACATTGAAAAGAAGTAACAAAATCTGGATGGATACTATTAATTTATTAGATAATGATTGTATTATATATATATATATCAAATATACAAGTTAACAAAATCAAAAAATTATATATCTCACTTATATTATGTAAATATATATGTTAACAAAATCAAAATCAAAGAATATTTTAATTCATTAAAATATCAACTCAAATCAATATAATACAATTTAGCATTTATTAATAAACAAACAAATACAACACATCATCAAAAACATTATATTAACACATGCAAATTAATAAAACATTATAAAACAAGCATCAATTGCTTATTAATTGCACTAGAATTTATTGTGCATTTTTTATATACATTAAATTAAAATTTTAATTTGACTTGCATTAGATAGATTAAATAAACCACCATAGGGATTTGAAAGGATATATGGTATTATACATAAATCTAACCAGAAAACTCTGTAATTATAATTTATGATTATAATACTATTTATAATATTTAAATTTTATTTAATAAAAAAATTGACAAGTATTTTAAAATGTATACTTGGTGTATCATGAATACGATAGAGAAGGTACCTAATTAAAAGACCGGCGAATGATAGAAATACCTTTTAATGGAGAAGTGAGTATGAGCGGAATTTGGCATTCAGGATGTTGGATTTTGGGCGGCACTCGCTTTAGACAACTACCTATTCGAATAAATTATAGTGATGATCACAAACAATATTTAGCAAGAATAAAAAATATTTATTCATGAGTTACTAATAGAGATGTTAAAAATCCAGTCCGGTTAAACTTGACTCTAGAAGTCGAGTTTTGATCATGGAAATCAGACTCATTTTCATCATGTAATCGGCGCTATCACACAAAAAAATAAATAACGTTCTTTAACATTACTAAAATAAGTAAAAAACACCAATGATTGATTTTTTTTAGGCAAAGTACATTCTTTAATGACTCAAAGGTCCTTTGTTCAGCGTTCTTGAAAATAATTACGTTAGTAAGATAACACCTGATCCATCATGTGATTTTTGATATTCTGTCTTTCTGATCTAAACTCGATTCGAAATTGTCCAGCCAAGCCGACTCTAACGACCGACTCCAGTAAGCTTTTCAATATCTCTAATTACTACATGTAATTACTTTTTGTGGTGGTGAATGTGAATCATGTACATGTACAACGGCAAGGAACTTATTGATTGAAAGACAGCACTAACGAGGGAAATATACAGTCAATTTCATAAATAACTAACACCTCATAACTTTCTAAAATCGGGTGTAATGCTATTAAATTTTCTGGATACAAAAACATCACAAACGCCTGATCATGATGGTAGATTTATTATAATTGATAAATTTCTACGTTAAAAAATGTCTCTTCCTTTACAGTGCGAATCATAAGTATCTGACTACTCCTATCTTGGCAAAAATTTCATGTGATGCCAAGAAAATTTTCTAAGCACAGAAAAACCTCTTTCATAAGCTGGCTCTATATCGGGCATTGAATGTTCATCAAAACTTTCTTCACACCTCATTTCTAAGTAGTCAAATTCATCATTTTTAATGATCAACAAAAATAAATGGATCGCCAATTTAGGACGCAATATCTCGAAGCTCATTGAGCGAAAACGCCAACATTCGATTTGTCTCGACTAGAGAAATCAAATGGTAGTAGTTTCGCTCGAATCGGGTCAATGAGTGTCGAGGTGTTGCGCTCTTTACATTATACATGATTTTTGGGGTTCAGTTACTTTTTTTGTCCCGAGATCCCAAGTTGTATATCATGATCTTAGTCATGTGTACGTATTAGGTAGGTTAAACTGAAAATTTTTGCCATATTTGATTTTTTAAAAATTTTATTGTACCGTCACATGATTATTTTATTGTAATTCAATTATTAAATTTCAGATGAAACCTAATCTATTGTTGCATTAAATATTTATTATGTTCCTGGTGGACATGTTATATTGACTGAACTGGCAGTTATAGGAGGATTATAAGCGGTAGTATCTTTGCCTGTAGCAACCGCGGTTCCATTGCAGTTGGTATCGCTGTAAAAAACGTAGCTAGTACCGGGATTACTGACCGTGGCTTTATTTATAGGGTCGGTTGGATCCAAGCCAAAACAGCCACCTCCCGTGTTACCAGTTTGATGCATATTTGTACCGTTGAGAACTAATGAAATGAAAATGTTATTAGTGTAAAAGAATTTTATAAATTAAAAAATCGATGCGCATGATCTTACAAAGGGTGCAAGCTTGAGCATGAATTACGAAAGCCAAACCAGCAGTTAAAGCTAAAATAATGGATTGGAACTTCATCTTTTATTAGTTTTCAATGCTATTGATCTTTTTTAGCTTGTAAATTGTTTGTAGGGTGGAAAGGGCTCCTTTTATATTTGCAATTGATTGGACTTATTATTTCCATTAATAGGTTGTGTCGAACAACTATTCATATCTTTTTAGTAGTTCAAACAAAATCTCGTATAGGAAATCACCATTACCATATAGCATATCTAATTGAAATTGACTAGTCTTATCTCCATTAAAGATTGCGCCAAACAAAGTTTATTCTCATAATTTATTTTAAACCAAACAAAATTCTCGTATAGGAAATTATCATACAATTCAGACAATTTTAATTTAGAAAATTAATAGCCATACAGCAGACTACGTAATGACTCATTACGTAGTCTGCTGTATGGTTATTAATTACAATTGTCTGCGTTGTATAATTTTTATTAACGTTAAATCAAACAAATTCTCGTATAGGAAACTAACGTTCTCATATAGGAGAATTAATGGCTGGTTAATAATCTAACATGTATAAATTGTGGTTAGTAACTATCCATATATAGTATCGAAGTACATGTATAAATACACGTGAGTATACTTTTGTGTATGAGCATTTCCCCGATATCATGTATACATGTACGGTATGTGTGCGCATTTATCCCGCATAGGCACATCTCTTTGCAACGACTAACAATCAATGACCAAACAAATAAATACATGCCCGAGGCGTGTTTATGTATTCGGAATTTGTCGCATTTTACGTGCTCGCCGGGTTATTTCTGTGGATCTTATGTGCTTGACTTTTTTATAAGGAGTACATACTGTGATTAGATAGCTGACAATGTTTATTTTAAAAAGCGAATGACAAAGTTCTCTTTATACTTGGAACTTTCCTGTAATCTTATAACATAATAGTGAAGGAAAAAATTTTAAATATAAAAAATTAAATCGAAAATTTTCTGGAATAAAATCAGTATCAATTTTTTATTGAAAATATAATTTTTATTGCCATGATATTTTGTTTTAGTTAACATAAACCAAATCCAAAAATTTATATTATATTAAAAATTTTTGATACTATTAATAACATTATTTTTCTTGCCAATATTTGCTAACTGTTATTTATTAATTGACGTAATGTGCCAGAAATAAACAACCCCTACGTAGCACTCCGACCCGGTCGAATCAACCCGGGTTATTTAACTCGACCCGAGTTTTAAATCGAGTTGGTAGTATTATTTTAATAACACGAGTCCTAAATTTAATCTAATCCGACGAGTTAGGTCATAAATTCTACGAATATCCATGTACTGTATTTTTTTTTGTTTTACGTTACATGTTCTTTGACTTTCACCTTATAATGCTAAATAATGAGTGAAACTACCATATAATTCTAATAACAAAAGTTCACGTAGTTTGCATAATGACATTTTATTAAAGGGTTTTTTTGACCAAGACATAAAAAATGCAAAACTCATCCGTAAGTATTTTTAAAAGAATTAAATCTTTGGCGTCATCATCAGCATCTAAATATAAATCCAAAGAAAGGGATCATTGTATATAAAACGAATTTTTTATATATTAACTTTACACAAGCAGTATTTTCTGATGGAACTGATCTGATATAGTCCGCACGAAAGTAATGACGGTTAGTTTTTTAAAATTCAGGTGCAATTTTAAAGACAAGAGCATCATATTATTAAAAATCAACCCATGATACGTTTTCGTTGGGTCTACCCCAACATCCCGATACCCATCTCCCTGAAAATCCAAAACATCACGGGATATGAATTGTGATTTTCAATGGCTTGAGATACCCTTCGAAATAGAGGTTCATAGAGTATCATGTATTCACACCAGTCTTTTTTAAAAGGAGATTGAGTATATGATAAATTTTGCCGTCACTATTTTCCGTGCGGACTGTAGCAGTCAATAGATGTACTCTTAAAACAGATACATGTACAATTTGTGCATGTATGTGCTTGAAATTCTAAGAAGATATAAAAATGTAAAGTGGCTTTAGTAAGAGAATTGTTTTGTGAAGAAAACAACTTATTTTTGTCGACAAAATAGTTTCTATGGAGTATGTTGAGCCTACCAAAGTTACTCCCACCTACGGAGTCAAAAGTATTCTTCAACTGCTCCAAAAAGTGGAAGCAAGCTGATGTTAAGAAGAGCTTGATTTCGATGATGAGGATATCGAATAATCCGAAAGAATAAGTTCGCCGGTCAAGCATTCCCCTATAATCTTGCTGGTGGTCCAGCAAATTCAATTGCATATTTGATCACCGGTGAAAGTATGAATAGATAAGTATTGTTGCGATAAAAACCTAGTGGAAGTGTAAAAAAATGCTTATTATATTTGAGGACTGTTTGTACTCTTTTGCGACACTGGCGCTTCATTTATAATTTTTGCTATAAGTAATGCTAAAATGCAAATACGAGGTATCATCAGAAGATTTAAGCAATATTATAGAAAGTGCGGTAGATAAATCGGTGAAGAAAGCATTCTCACGGTTAAAGCCCGTTGAGATCTCAGTATCGAAACTTTCTGAAACAAAAATGCAAAACTATCAGGTGATATTGGAATAAAGGTTGTAAAAGTAAAGTACGCTCTTATTTAGAATGTTTTCTTTATCACTTATTAAGAAAAGGACTTCCAACTAACGGGTGATTCCAATATATCTATTGGACCAAGCGATACAGCTTGCGTCTGGGTTGAAATTAAGAAATCATTGGAGGATTTTAAAGAGGGTCAAGTTATGGAGAATTATTTTCAATAGATAAACGCTAGTCATTTTTTTCATTAATATTAGGCATATACTAAAATGTAGATTTTTAATTTAAAAAATTATTTCTGTTTTCAAAATCGGGAATATCCGGTACATAATAAACTGTTAAGATTGATATTATTACCAGTTTGGCAAATATTACTAATACTGTATTATCTGTTTAGTAATGACAACAAATAATATTACTATTACCTTACCGGTTTATGCGCGACAAATGAATGAAATCCCAAACTAATGACATCCGAATGTACGAAATCGTAATAATTTTAGTATTCATGCTATAATTTCGGGATTTCGTATATTTTGGGATGCCGTTAATGTGAAATATCACTTTGACAGAATATAAAAATAAAAGTACGAACCTTTATTAATTGGAATTGAAATAAAGGTTCGACTTGTGTAAATTAGAATTTTTGTTTTATTCGTAGAAATGCTTTTTTGCGATTTTGGACTTTCTAATTCAAGATACCCATAAATTTCTTCATCTGATATTTCCATTTATTTATTGTCTGTTAACTGGCGGCGAATAAAAGTAAATAAAATCATGAAGTTCCCAGCAATTGGTCTGTTTTCTGGAACAGGATCCCAACATTTTTCAATAATAAATTTGTGCCATATTATTTGGTACTCTTTGCATAATCCATTACTATTGAGCAGTTGTTATTCATACAATAATATATTATATAACCATAATCACCGTATTTACAATATTTTGCGCACATCAGCAAGGAATGCACCTAAGCACACGATATTGTCTGATCGAGATACGAGAAGGCATTACAAATTATAATAAATAACAAACACTTGTAATGTTAATAATAATAATAATAGAATCAATCATCTATCAAGCATATCAAATTATTTTTAACGCGCGTTAACGCATCCACATTTTAATACAAAATAGGTACCAAAAATAAATTTTTTTTCAAAAAAAAGGAAATCCATACTTTATCCCATAAAAAGAACGAAAACCACATAACACACATCCTACATGACCACCAATTTTGTTTCAATAGAGCTGAATATTAGATACATATAGCAGCGCACATACAGCACATACGTATTTCCATCCCCCGGTGAATATGTGTGTGCTGGGGGATGTGTGTGCTGCCATGTGTATCATTATTTAGGCGGAACTATTAGACCAAGAACAGTTGCCAAACCGACAAAAAAGAGTTAGACAGCTGACCGCACCATCATACACACAACTTTTCCAAATCCTTATGCTGTTTTGTTTCTCAATGATACCTAAGGTACATACTATAACAAATTAGTTTATATCTTTTCGTTTTTAAAATTGATCGTATCTTTTCTGTGATTTGGATTCATAGTATATCGAACAAGAAGTAATTGCACTTTTTATTCTCAATCACTTCTTCTATGGTGGACCTTGCAAGATGATTTTTCTTTAGACCTTGAAAAAGGTGTGGAAAAGTCTTTAAGCTTATCAGGCTTGCCGGGCATATCAATCGATAAAGTTGGTCTTTAGCATTGTCAATTTTATTTTCTTTGCCACTATGGGTGTTATCATTCTGTGAAAAAGCATGCAACCTATCAAGTATGTCATGGTTTTTTACAAATTATTCGGGCAGAAATTGGCCGGGAACTTTAGTTACCCGACGATGCGTTAGCTCAAAAGTAGAAGCGTTAGTTGTAGTTGTGTTGGAAGACGTCTTAGTTCCAAGACTGATATTCGATAGGAAAGAAAGGGCATCTTGGTCTCGTCTACTTCGTGTTTGACGAGTTGAGGCCGTGGTCATTGGTAAGTAATCAGCGGGGATTTTGCTCTAAGAGCGACAATAGTGCTGGTTTTTATGTGTTGCGTTATTATTTGTTTTTCTCTTAGAGGCCAAGAGGCGAGGAACGGTGCCACATTTCTTCCGAATTAATGATATCAACTATTCAACAACCATCGACAAATCACATCGTGTTGATTCGTGGATTACACAGATTCACAACATTTTGGTTCTGATTACGGAGTTTTCTCTTTACCTTTACAGCCCTTGTATGCATGCAGCAATACGAATTGTATGATATGCCGGCTAAAGCAAGTTCGTCAGTCGTGTTTAGCCCTACAAATCCGGATCTTTTATTAGTCTCTTTTTGAGATGAAGTAAGGTTCTTTACTTTGTTCTGCACATATGCATATAATAATTATCTCGTTTGCCTTATCGAACGTTATAACCGTTCTTAGAGTGTAAGATTATACGACGTTCATAATACCTCGCTACTTAAAACAAATTATACTCATAAGGCCCAGTACTTGATTGTTGTTTCTCAAATGGCGCTCACGCGTTCGGTGGTGGTTTTGTTTGGATAAACGGCTGAAAACGTAACCATGTGCGTCACTTGATTTTCTAAAAATAATGATTTATTCAACTCTTTTGAATATTAACTTCAATGAATGATTAGTTTTTGATTTCACTACGGGAAATGATACGATTCTCGGATCTCATGATGAAGCATTAAATGTGTGGAATATAGCAAGGAAAATGGTATGTATTTTCACATGCGGCTTAAACGTTTAAAAAAATAACGATAATAATTTTTATTTTCCTTGAATTGGTTAGTTAATTGTATCCATTAGTCTGACTACTTAAATATTATACCAATGAAAAAGATTTGATAGTAACAGGATCCCGGGACAAAGCCATTCGTCTCTGGGACATTCGCTCAAAAAGATGCTGATTCCGGGGGGGAACATATAAATTAACGTAGCTCTATACTGAAATGCATATACCGAACAATTTATAACATGATTGGAGTATATTCAAAAGAGAAACAGACCTATGATGAGGAACAAGAAGACAGCGAATTAGGCACCGACCTGGATGACGAGCAAGAATAATTCCGAAACTCTCCAATTCCCACACCTCAAATCTTATTATTCTTCCTATTGAAACGTATACAGAACGATATCATCCTCTCCCAACACTAGTCACGAACCAAAAATCACTAATTCCGTCCGCCCACATTTGTACCGTGATAGCATATTATAAATGAGTATATTATATTATTATTAATCAAATTATAAAGATGTTTTTATAATTATTAAACGCTAGAACGAAACGAAATGCGATTTCATTAAGTGACTCTCGCATGGGATTTTGGAAAGATTCGAACCCTCATTCCGATTAGGAATCACCAGAGCAAAACCCAATTTATGGAATACTACGATCTATGAGAATTGGCTAGAAACTCGTAGAAAGGGAGATTTAACGGAAACCCCCAACTGGAATAGTTTAACGTCAATAACCAGGGCAGTTTTTTAGATCAAAAGAATACTACGGCTACGACCCGATCTCTGGCCATAAACAACCAAAGCAGTTACAACAAGGTTAAAATAATCAACCCTGAGGGACTCGAGATTACACTTTCGGGTAATACTACCGAGTAACTTCAGAAGCTATCTTAGTAATAGAAACCACTGATGAAGGAAGTGCATTCAAGTCAGAAGCAAGTCTTATTTAACGCAGAGTCAAGATTTGGAGAAACTCACGACGAAGCAAAGGGAACGACGCTTAAGATTCTCTATTATAACAGGGTTAGTCTTACGTTGAAATAACAACAGCCATCCCTAGAAAGAGAGAGCCGGTAATACCAAGAATCTTTGGATTTGCAATTCAAGTTTTATCACAGAAAACTTTAAAACTGGAGATTTTCCATCATAAGCAAGGTAAGCAACAGATGGGCGGCCACAAACTCATAAACCGCCTCACAATGGACCAAGGTCATTTTACATCTTAATGCGATGGAAAATATTTTGTAGAGTGTATTTTCATCACCCTTTAAAGCGAAGTCAGAATTTTTAAAACAGGACAAAAATCTGGAAAAAATCAATTTTAGTTTTTTTTTGAACAAAAAATCTGCAAAAAACCACCGATGAATTTTCAATCGAAAGTCTGAATCAGCACTTAGAAGTCAAATATAAGCCATCTTTGACAAATAAAAATGCCTAGCTTCACCATTTAGAGGTTAGGGAGGAATACTCTTTTTAACTTTCGAAAGTGCCTAGCATACCAATTGGAGTAGGAGGTAAGGATCTTTTAACCTAACAAAAAAGCCTGAACTTCATCATTTAGAAACAGGAGGTAATAACCTTTTAACCAATGACTGTCCGTAATCAGAAGAAACTAATAAAATATCAAATTTTAACTCGAGTTTTATCACAGAAAAACTCTTTAAAACTGGAGAGTTTTCATCACAAGCAACAAAACAGCGATTACAAACTCATAAACGCTTTAAATTGGTGGCTTTATTTAAAATAAAATGAAAACTGAGAATTCCGTTCTTTCGAAGTCAAATCAGATAAACCTAGAGCCAATTATACTGGAAAGACAAGTCCAAGAATGATATTATTCAGTCAAGAGAAAAACATATTGCTTCTTGGTAAAAAACACTCAGATAATCTCGAAATTAGCCAAGAAAAGGACAACCACTATCGCTGTCACGATATTATATCAGAAGCTTCCAATATAAAGGAGTTAAAGAGACAGTAAAAATTTTGACTAGTTAGAAATAACTACTCCATTTCTATGGTATTGAAAAAAGAAGTAAAAAGAAAGAAGTCAAAGAATAATAAATAGAAAAGTAACAATTTGACTAGTTAGAAATAACAACTCTATTTTGCTTTACAAAAGAAGTAAAAGTCAAGTCAAGAGTGAATTCCAAGAGAAAAATTTTAAACCTTTTAATCAGAGGAAACTCTGATAAAGAAACTTAGATATATCAAGAATCTTGCTAAAGAAACTTCAAAGAAAAAAGCTAAAGTAAAAACTCATACAAAGATTATAACATGGAAGATTGAAAAAGAATTAAAAAATCTTTTATATATTAATATTCTTTCTTCTCATGTCTTATAAGAGTAAATAAAAAAATTCAGCTAGGAAAGTGTAACTATCATCTAAAAAGTCATAATGGCTAGTATGGTCAATATAACTGATATTAATTAATCAAATTATAAGATCAAGTTATAATATAAAAATTCAAACAAAAATTTAAAAGTTATTTTATTATTTTTTTTAAAAAAATAACTTATATTTCGAAATTTTGTCTATGAAACTGCTCTTTATATTTTATTAAAAATTATTTCTTGTGAAATTTTACTATATATAAAAAATTTTTTACTAAATAATTCTAATAATAAAATAAATTAAAAATTTAAATATTATTTTTATTTTTTATTAAATATAAAAAGTTTTAATTAGAATTAAAGTATTAATATTATACAGAAAAGAAAAATATATTATTCAAGGAAATAATTTTTAATAAAATATAAAGAGTAGTTTTATAAATAAAATTTAAAATATAAATATATTATATCTTGATTTTATAATCTAGTTAATTAATTTATATTAGTTACAAGCTATCAAAACTTTCTTGAAATTAAATAGAAAAGTATATATAATACTATATTAATATGAACTAGTTTATTATATATAATAGTAAATATATTTTAAATCAAACTAAAATTTAAGATAATTTGATTAATATTTAAATTATTTAAAAATCTAATATAATCTGAATTATTTAAAATATCTATATTATTAAACTATATTAATAATTTTTTTTGAAAATTTTTATATATAATCTCTTTAAAGCTTAATATTTCAAGATTTAATAATAAAAATTATGGGTTGGTGCAAAAAGATTTATATTTTAAATAAATATTAATAAATTATTTTTTCAAAATAAAAATTTTAATTCTGTCTTATTTAATTAAAAATTTTTATTATATATTTTTTCTAAAAAAATTTTTACTAATAACTTTTTTCAATTATTATTTCTTAAATTTTACTATATAAAATTTGATTAAAATTAAT